TACCGCCCTCTTTACTTGAAAATCGTAATCGCCTAGTAGAGTCGGTAATTCAACAATTACCCATTCACTTAATGGAAAATTGTGCCGAAGGATCGTGGTTTGAGAAGATGGTCGCCGATTCTGCTTTTCTTTCACCGGCTAAGCTCGCTTCTTGCCAAACGATAATAATCCACAAGCCATTGTGAGCTTTTTGAGCAGATTCCCATATTTTTGAAAAATTAAGCCGACCAAAATTTTTTACAATCGAAGGGGAATATGATAGATAACTTACTAGTGCCTGAATTGGAGGTGTTGATGTGGTCGACTTTTGGTTCCAACAAAAGACGCTTCAATGCTAATGAAGAAATTAATTAAATGAAGAAAACTTTTTGTGAGCGCGTTATTACGCAACTTGGCTCTATGGCGTGGCCGTGGCTTTTATAATTTGCAACTACGAGGAAATCTGTAGAATTCTTTTGTAGATATTCTCTGATTTTTTTTTTTTTTCTTTTTTTTTTGTAGATATTCATAATTAAATAATAATGTTGTATGTTAATAGTTGGAGTACAATTGATACACTTAACCTAAGAAGATCTGAATCCCAAGAATAGCAGTCCGAAGAAATTACAAAAATATACTTAAAATACTACACACGTTTATTGTCTTCAATTAATCCAATTATTAAATAAAAAAGAAATGTCTTATCAATTCTTCATTCCAATTTTGGACCAAGAATAGAATTTTAATTTTTAGTTTCGAGTTCGCAATGCCGAGTATGACCCATTACTAAAACTAATTGCCGAGGCTAATAGCCCTGACAGAGAAGCAAAATTAATGCGCCTTTAGCAACGCTAATACGCATTGAAATTTTATGGCGACAGACGACAGACGGCATTTAGACAGCTGATAGTGAAATTTATTTATTAAAAAAAAAAAGTGAAATAAAAATTAATAACATAAATTATTAATAGAAATTTTGGTATTTTTGGAAAATCAATACAAATTTAACGAAAAAAATCGTTTATTTTTAACTACGTTAAAAGATAATGGAGTGAAATTAATAGTTAATATTAAAAATATTTGAAAAATGGATAGCAAACTGTGCGTTGTTTATTTTCTGAAATCTAAAAATATTAAAATTTGTTTTTGTTAAAATACTTACACATAATTTAGCAATATAAAAGCTGCTAACCTCTGATGATGTAAACGCAAAGGAAGCGGCAGACTTCAAGCGACATCTGTCAAAAAATAGCAAAAATCAGTCATTTTTGAGCAGTGTTGCCTTCTCCAATTTGGTAAATTCAACTAAATGCACGACATTCTTTTGCATTGCAAGCTTGCATTAACATGAATCAAATGCGCAAATAAATGTAAATTAAGCCCGCTAATGCATATTAGCGCTGTCGTCTGTCAGGGCTATAAGCTTTGTTGATATTTAAAGCCACTGCTAATATATTCCTACTGGGCAGCATTTCATGTTTCCCACATACCTTTTTTCAAAAATGTTGCATACTTTTAGGCGCGACGATATAAAATTTCCGTTAAAATTATAAATATACCACCAACAGACATCAAAGGGTGAATTAGTTAAATGTAGCTGGAGAATAGGCCATTTTGTACAATTTATTATATGTTCAGAATTGTACATATATTTAAATATTTATAGGCATTTATTTGTTCAAGTAAGACGATGTTCATAACAATAAGAAAGAAACGTCAGAGGTGCCATGAAGCATATACATACATATATGTATGTATATAAATGATCAGCGTGACTAGTTGAGTTGATACGGGAGCACCGACCCGCTCCCATTATACCGGTAGTGGTTCTAATATTCTTTTTCTTGCTGGCTCGTCAGCTTAACAATCTTCTGCAATTCCGCTGTGACCCGGCACCCATACCAGTCTTATCACAAAGATACTCGAAGCTATTGATAGCGAGGTTAGGCACACCTCGACCAACCCTCAAGGCACTGTAAATGAGTTCAACGCTGTAAATGAGTTCAACGCTAGTATCGCCGCTCTGTTGAGTGAATGAGCACTTCTTTGAACGAGATGTACTGCTACCTTAATGGCTATAACCTCGGCTTGGAAGACACTACAATATTTAGGAAGTCTGAAGTTGATAGAAAGCTCCTAACAGTAAACTGCTCCACCATCTTCTCCCCAAGCTTTGACCCATCTGTAAAGAAACTCACTACGTCTATGTTCCAATGCTCTTTCCCACCTATAGCTCCTTCGTCAGTATATGGGCAGAGAATTAGCCGCCAGAGTTCGACTTGGGCACTCCATAATCTAAGTGGTCCGGTATGAAGTCAAAGTGTTTGAGGATATCCCAAATGTTCAGAAACGTGTTCTTTTAAGAACCCAGATTCTCTAAGTGTAATAGCCACTTTAGCAGCCATAGACCTTACGGGCACTATGTGTGAGATGGCGCTAAGTGCCATGGTTGGAGTGGACCTTAGCGCACCACACATGCTGACGAGCGCCGCCCGTTGAACGCTCTCGAGTTTCTTTGCAAGTGTGGTCATCCCTGGAACCCTCCCTCGTTAAATGATATTACAAAGTATACTCAGTTTATAAAATAGTGGAAATTTTTTAAGAAATGTTTCTGAAAACTAATCTATTAAATATAATGAAGGACAAACGAGAGCAATTCAGTTCCTTTTTCCTTTCTCCCAGCATAAATGGTAATAAATTTTTGCAACAACAAACTAATATCGAAAGAAAACACAATATTAAAAGCTTTTTCTTAAACTTAATTTATTTAAAATTATATTTGTTGCAAAATTAAAATCAAAACATAAAAACGAATATAAGTAAAGATATTTTTACAATAATGTTTATCTCATAAAATATAAATAAAATCGCTCGATACAAATGTTATTTGGGCAAGAAACAAAACAATAAATCTATATATGTATGTATGCTGACTTTAGCAATAAAAACCGTTTGCAAATAATTTTATTTAATTTACGCGTATTGCTTGCATTCAATTTCCGTTATGTGGAATTGTGTGTTTGTTGACCGTTACTTCTTAAAAAATATGTATGTATGTATATATAGCACAGCTTCGCAAAATGACGAGGTGATACAAAAAAGCGTATCACGCGCAYTTCGCGTTTAATATTTTTATTTTTATTTTGTTATTGTTGTAAAATTTTGTCTAAAAACTGTTTGACGTTGTACGTACGTATGTGTTAGTGTGTATGATACAATTTATGTATATGTATATATACTTATGTATATATGAAGCATAATAATGAGCACGAAATCGCTTGCCAATGAATTATTGCGGCGCAAAATGTTTTTTTTTTTTTGTTTTTGGTTTTCATTTTTTAATGAGTTTCGAAAATTTGGGTCTTTTTGGTGTTTTGATGATTTTTTGTTGATGAATAGCTTTTAGCCAAATTTGTATGAGAGTGTGTGTGTGATTATTTTCATATGATTACTTTAAATTACTTATTTAAAAATAAAAATAATAATAACAACACAATTGTGTTAATGTTAGGAACATTTGCAACAAATAAGATTTGGTAGTAGTTACACGCTTCTTCTTGTTCTGCTTTTTTATTTAATTGGTTAGTTAATTTGTCATGTTATCACGTGCGCTCAACGGAGTCACGTGACGAGGGCAAAATATTTAAATTCCTTTAGTGAGATTTAAAGCAAAAGTTTTTACAATTAAAATTAAAAATAAATTAAAAATGGAATTACAAAAAAAAAAATTAAAAATGA